GCTCCCCAAAATAGAGTAGAATAGAATAGAATATCTCTTTATTGTCATTGGACACGTACAACAAAATGATGGGTGCTCCACGGCAACTGTGCAGGAATTAAATATAAATAATGAGACGGCAGAAATACATCTAAAACAACAGAAAGGCACTCATGGGAGAGCAAAGTGAAGGAGGTGCACAAAGGTGTGAGTCTGTGTGTGCGTGACCTGACTGACCTGAGGGCAGCGGGTCAGACAGGTGGGGGGCAGGGTGCCTGGCTTACCTGAGACAGGAGGATCTGGCGATGGCCTCTAGGGGTGTCAGAGGGCAGCCGGTGATGTTTTGGCGGGTTAGTGACCCTCTGTGCAGGCTTCCTGTTGCCAGTATTGGCCCCTAAGTACCAAACACCAGGCAGGAGGAGAGCACGCTCAGTTTGTGTTGTTGTGTGAAAGCAGTGGTACACACAGAAACTTAACACAACATGTACCGTGAGAGGTTTTTGGATAAAGTTTGTGTTCTCCATTCTTTAAGCACCGGCACCGTTTCAAAATACCGGTTTGGTACTGGTATCGGATAAAACCTAAACGATACCCATCCCTACTCTCCACCTCTGATAGGTGTTCTGGTTAAACCTGGGTTCGGGTCTCTTAGCACCGACAGTTGGCCTGGAGGGCGTGGCACAGGTGGGCGGGTCGCAGTTACTCCTTGAAGGTCATCAGCAGAAACACTCAGCAGTCGCTCTGATGATTCATTTCTCTTCTGGCTGGGCTTCATTTTCCTCAAACCGGGCACAAGCACAATCCTGGGCTGAGCTAAGCTCCTCCCACCCTTTGTAAAGGCAGCAGGTACGCCGACAGACCGACTCTGCTGCTTTATTCAGCTTCAGCGTGAGTAGTTGTAGAAAAACAGAATCAGGAGTTCTTCTGCGCTCCTCGATATGATCGACTCCACCTTCTCCAACTGCAGACGTGCGAACATCTGCTGCACAGCACGCAGCTGATGTGCTTTCTCTGTCTGTGTGAACGTCAATCTGGAGTCTGTGGCTGTCATGTGGCGCCTTCTAGTGGTCACAGTGACAAACTACAGCTCAGAGCATTTCCCCAAACAGCTCAAACACACAGCAGCGCCCACAAAGAGTCTTTGAAACACTATCGATCGCTCCGCTTTTCTAAAGGTACAAAATGACATGAAAAGACTGCAGAGAACAAAGAAAATCAAACAATCACCACTTTATTCTGTTTTTGTCATTTATTAGACGTTACACATGATTAGAAAGTTACTTTTGTGTTATTATGGACGTCACTGTTATATAATGTTATTAATGCTGCTGAGTTGATCAGAACACATAGAACTAGTGATGTATTTACTATTGATAATAGCAAAATAATCATTAATAATGATTGATTACAACCTGATACCTCATGTTTTTATATGTTGTGTTTACGTTGTGTAATGTGTTATTAACGCATCAGTATTGCAGTGACTGAATAAACAGGAAGCAGACGCGTCAGTGTGTGTAAGCAGAAACAATCCTACCTGACGTCTGAGCAAACCAGTTCACTCTGCCATCGTCTGAGCACCGGCACTCAGAGGAGTCACACTCAGCCAAAATCGTGGGCACCACACCCACCACATCAAAAACTCCACCCACTTCACCGGCCCAGAGACTCCCCCTGGATCCAGATGAAACCACAGTGCTGTGGTCTGATGCTGAGGAGACGGTCAGAGAGTGACTACAACAAGACCCCTGCTTAGAAAACAGAAGCTTCACCCCGATCACACCTGCACACTGTTACACCACCTTACCTCCACATATTTAAACACAACCAGGGCAGCCACAAACAGACACAAACT